GATCCAAACTTCCTGTTTGGAACCTCAGCTCAGTTAGTCCTTCCAGAGAGAGAAGGACCGAACAAATCCAGTTTGCAGGATGACTTCCTGCCGAGAGGCAAAGACAAAAACAAAGTTAAGACTCAAGTTGACAAAAACTCTGTTTAACTCAGTAAAACTCAGCTTGGCTAGATAATCCAAAACTGGCAAACAAAGACTCAGGTTAGACTCTGCTAAACTAAGCATGGCTAGAGTACCCTGTATAGGCAAACACTCTGGCGTCGAGGTAGTGGCAGTCAGCAGCTTAAGAATCCTCCACAGGTAATGAGGCAATGAGCTGCAGGTGTGCAGTGAGAACCAATGAGGACGGGGCACCACCTCCTGGAGGAGGAAAGGAAACACAAAAACAGACCACACAAACTGGATTCCTGACAGGGACAGTTGGTAACCCTACTTGCGACCTGCCAAGAGCCCCAGTTTTAGAACCCCTGTACTAGATGAATAAATAAATGATATATTTATTCATTTCTTTGTATATTTTTGCCCTCTATATACCTCAGGAACTATATCACAATAATTGTGAAAAAAAGATTTCTTGACCCGCTACTTGGTGTCTTGCGTCCCCCAGGAGCCCCCGACCCCCTCTTTGAGAACCCTTGTTTTCTTCCTATTTTTCTTGAACAGAAAGTCCAGATGCGGTCCCGGTCCCCCCCGCTCTGACCCCGCAGAGCGTAGAGGAGGAGCCAGAGGCCCCCGGGCCGTCGGCGCGGACCTTGGAGCGCTACCTGAACGACTCGCTGCACGCTTGGTTCCGGCAGGAGTTCCTGATGGAGTACGAGGCGGAGGCCGGCCGCCTGCTCTGCATGGTGTGCGGGGCGGAGCTCCCGTCGCTCCACCTGGATCACATCAAGAGCCACGTGCTGCAGACGCACCCCAACTCGCTGGTGTTCAGCTCGGAGGAGAAGCACTGCATCCTGCAGGCCTGGGCCCAGAGCCACGGTGAGAACGGAGCCCGCCACCGTGTCGCCACGTCCCGGCGCCGGATCCTCACTGTGAAAATCTGCTCTCCGACAGGCGAGTCCGACTCGGCCAGAGCCGAGCCCACAGCAAACGCCAAAGGAAAGGGGGCGGAGCTTCTCTCAGGAGACCTTCAGGCCAACCAGACCGACGCGGACGAGTCCCCGGAGGGCGACGGCGCTTTAACTCAGGATATCCGCCTGATCGGTGAGGACGGAGGGGTCGGGGCCCCTCGGCCCGCGGCCCCGCCTCTCCGGCAGCCCAGGAAGCGGCGGCTGCGAGGCGGGGACCCCTGGCGGCTCCGGCTGGACTACCTGGTGGCCTACGGGCCCCAGGACCAGGGCATCTTCTGCATGGTGTGTTCTCAGGTGTTAAAGGAGAGCAAGGTGAGCAGCTTCCGCCGCCACATCCAGGAGTGCCACCCTGAGACCACGGCCCTGAGCCGACAGGAGCGAGAAGCCATGGCCGCCGCCTGGACCAAAAACTCCTCTGCTGACGGCCTGCAGGCAGCAGACGGTGAGAAACGCCCTGCAGCCATGTTGGAAAACATCAGAAAGATGCTGCAGCTTTAGCCTGAATCAGAGCTGAAACGCTTCCTCATCATTCCTCCATTTTAATAGAAGCAGGGGCCCCCGGGGGGCCCCCTGGAAAAACCACCCGAGGCCCCAAAATACATATTTAGCTACCTATTTATTTATGCATATCAATAAAGGAATAATAATAATAATAGTTATAAGGTATTTATGATTTTAATATTTTATTCATCATTTTACTTTTTTAGCGTTTTGGGGAAATTTTATTAATTTTATGCTTTTTTTTTCAACATTTTAAATGAATCTATAAAAGTTTATTTACCTGAAATTAATCATTTTACATCTTATCCAATCAGACACTTAATAATTGAATGGTCTATATTGCATAATGTTTAATTATCTATAATTAATCATAACTTGAATTATTTAATTTGTCACTTTATAAAACTTTATTTTAACATCTAATTATTTAGTTTATGATTTTAATCATTTTTAATAATGTTTCAT